GAAATTGACCTTTCACCTACCTTTTGATGAACTTTTGATATATTTTTTTGCATATTTTGAAAATTCTTGTTGATTGCAATTTTACAGCTTGTCAAGCAAAAGACTGGTGGCTGTGTCCCTTATTTTGTGTATGTGGGGGTCTATACGAATGCGCTTGCTCCAGCTGGTGGTACAATATTCGGAGGCGGTATCGCCTCTCTGATCCTCTAGTTTTTATCTAGTTGCGGTTTTTCTTCTAAAAGCATCTTAATGAAACTGATTTTAAATTGCCCTTTTTTTTTGTCAAGATTAAAATAATAACTGCAATTTAAATTCTTTCTTCTGAAGCAATATGAACAATCTTTGTAAAGAAATCCCCGCTGGTTCCTCTGGTCTCCATCTTGTCTGCAGCAGACCACGGCTGGGTATGTTAAACGACTGTCACAGAAGGGAAGCTTATATTGGAGCTTTAAGGAAGGTAATAGTTATTCATAGTGAGATAATGTCATCTCCACATTTTTCTGGATGTTGATTTTTTTTAGCAAGCTTGACTCTTTTTGGTAACAATACTATTCGTCCAGTCTTACAATATGTTTATATGGAACAGAAATAAAAAAAACAAACATAAAAGTGAAGCTTATAGTGGACCTTTGAGATGGGTATTATTCATAGTGAAATAAAATTGCTTTTAATGCATTTTTCTGTTTTTCTTTTGATATTAGTTATGGGCAGAATTAACTCAGTTTAATAACAGTTCAATTAATCTATCTTTTACTTAACAAGTTGATACAAGTTAAAAAAAAAAGCATTACTTTTTAAGTTTTGAATTATTATTTCAAAAAGAAAAATTGTAAATACATTAAGCCAGTATAAAAGACTTAATATACTTGTGATGTGTGTAAGGCAAATGCATAAATGAAATTGATATTGGGAAATATAAACAACCAAGTATTGATCTTTTATGATATGAAAGGTTATCAAAGAAGATAGCATATGTCTTTGCGTCAGTGATGGATCTCAATTGCCCCTGATTGCTGCAGCTTTAGGAGCTAAAAAAGTAAGTTACACTGTAATAAAACATTCAGCTCAAATTTTTATGAGACTTCTTTTTAATATACTGTGTTTATGTATCCTCTAGATAAACAGGTGGAACCCTACTTTCTAGTTTTAACTGTGCCACATTTCCTTTGTTTAAGTCAGATAGTATCTGGCCTATGTAAGGAGGTTGGTACATACACACAAGCATACGTGTGTGCAATCTCAGTTATTGTGAGTTGATATTTGATCTACAGGCTCGTACCACAAAAACCTCATTTTACCTAGCTTAGGTCAGCATGCATGTGTGCACATTTGTGCTCAGACAGGTACACATGCACACAAACATATATCAGCATGGGCAATCTCAATTGTCATTGATTTATATTATATTACATTTTTTCAGGTGTATGTCACAGAAACCTCGCCTGCCTCCAGGACGCTGAGCAGAGATTATGTGAAGTCCAATAATTTGGACAGTGTGGTCACCATACTGGACAAGAGTCCTGGGGATATAACACAGGAGGATTTAGGTGGAAATAAGGTATCAATTAACAGGCAGATTATCATAATTTATTATTATTGTTGTCGTTGTCATGACACCAGTCAGATATAAAGGGAGATTGAACTACAAACAAGGTGACTTGGTTTATTTAGTTTGGATAAAACAAAACTGGAATATGATAGAAATTCAAATACAAGTTTTTTTTCAGATTTCAAATATGTGTAGCAGAACTGCTTGTCTGCCTTTCTGGTACAGATTGTCCCATATTACATTATGGTAAAGTTAATTTGAGATGGCAGCTTTTATCTCCACTTGCCCCATTCATTATATCTTTTTATTTCAGATCACTTTGTGTATGGCAGAACCATATTTCTACTCTTCACTTCTTCACTGGCATAATCTGTATTTCTGGTACAGTTGGTCACATTTGTCAGACCTCATGGTGGACAGTGTTACCATACTGCCCAGGAGAGCCATCTTAAAGGCTGCAGCAATGGAGTTTGACAACCTGTGGAAGATCCGGGCACCTGTGGGGAACTGCGAGGGATTCGACTTAGGACAGTTCGATCAACTTATTGAGGTAAGTTTAATGGGAAAACTACTGTAAAAATTGAGAAAGCATGACTTGTTTTATAATTTAAGATTGCTGTTTCAGACTTTTTTTTCCATTTTGAAATATCATTCAAGAAAGTTGCTTATTTTACTTTAAAAATATTATGATAGTGAAAAAATATTGAATTAATTTTGGTGTTTTTCTCATGTTTTTTGTATTTGATGCAATATTAAAGTATGGGGATGTAAAAACTGCATGCTTTGAAAAACAGTTGGTCTTATTCTCCTTAAGTTTTCCAGTTCAAAAGCAGGGATGAAAGATTTATTGTACTACATAGAGAATATATTCACCATCATTATATGTTATCTGAAAATTCCTCTCTGTCTCTTTATTCGCAATATGGAATTATGAAGGTGCTGCACTGACACTCCACCCACCAAGTTTTTCTGAAAGTTCAGGTGCCTCAAATTGACCAGCAAATATGATAAAAATACAGTAAAGAGTCTTTGATTATCAGCATATTGATTCTCTTTACTTAGAAGTAAATAATGGTTTGTTAATCAATTCAAGGCACCTAAACAACTGATGGCATCTCCCTTGCAAGATCAAGTGAAAAAAGGTTAATATATGACTTTAATGAAATCATTTCAGAAGGCCTGTGATATTTCTGATGACAGTGTGGAACCCCAACCACTATGGGAGTATCCTGGAACAGCTGTGTCCACTCCATTTACTCTGCTGGAATTGGACATGACAACACCGGTCTCTCAGATCACACATCCGATCAGAAATGAAGGGACTATAGCATTGCAGGGGTAAGTTGATTTGCCTTTTGGGTCAGAAAAAAGAGAAATATATTTATAAGGAGTTTATGTGATATATATAATTTAATTATTCTGAACAGCTGAAAACCTGGGGGGTGGGGGGCATTAATCTGTGACCATTTACTTGGGTGTTATTCCCCTTGATCTATCTGTTTTCCAAACCAGTGTTATAACATCAGTTTTAATTGTGGCATATGCTGTAGAGATATTATAAAAAAGTAATGCCATTTTTTCCTTTTATCCAATAAAATTGAATCATTTCAGCAGTGATACTTGCCATGGAGTGGCTATTTGGATGGAATATGACTTGGATGATGACCACACAGTATGTACTGGACCCAGGGGTCAGCAAGTTCAACCAGGGGTCAAGGTCAACTGGGATTATTACACCAGACAGGGTGTACACCTTTTTAAAACACCAGTTAAAGTGACTTCAAAGACAAGTGTTACTTTCAGTGCTTTGTTTAATCCCAGTGATGGTGATGTGAAACTGACTTTTAATGTGTGATAAGGTTAATTTTTCTAATGTAAATAAATTATTAATTTTTTAATGGAAATAAATGATTTATTATTATTATTATCTTTGTATGCTTTAATAACTAAAAGGCAGTTTTGCACCCTCAATTTCATATACAGAAACTGCTTTTACTGAAGAACTTAAATGGAATGAAGCTAAAAATTGGCAATCCGCTTTCCTAAATGTTTATCCTTTTTTGTAAAAAGGTTCACCTTAGATTTTGAATGCATTTGAATTTTGAACTTTTTTATTCTTTATCCTTTGTGAAATGAGGTCATTTTACTGGGCAATTTGTGACTTTCACTTTTCTTTTTCAGTGACGCAACTAGTCTTTTTAAATCTGATATAATATGATTATATTTCCTGTGAACCGTGATCACTACCCTCCCAAATGTGACCCTCATCAAAAATCACCATATTCAAAAACTGTGTCTAATTCCTTGTACCCTCTTGGTTGAGATGTCCACTTTAATAAGCATCTTTTTCAAACAGGGTCCTAATCTTATTGCAAAAATGCAAAATCTTGGGCCAGTTAATAAGTCTACTATAATGGATCTGTCAGTCGTTGTTATGTACCTTCCCACTTATTTTATCAGCAAACAATAAAAGAAGTGCTAATCACACTGTATAAATGATTCATAGGAGTAAAATACTGTTCCAGTTCAAAAACGAGCATGATCTGAAGTAGAAGGACAGTATTGTTATTATGTCTTTATGCCATGGCTAGGTGAAAAAATACAACAAATGACACCACAAATATACAAAGATTATTATTATTAATCCAAATAAAAACAAGTGAAGCTAAATTTACATAACCATATTACAGACAGACAAGAGCTCTGGATTAAAAGTGATCTACACAGTATGCTGTCTTACTCTAGCCAGCAGAGTTTACATCACAAAAAGATATCCCCCTACCCTAACCAATACCAGGATTTGATAACTATAAATAATATACTACAATTGACATCAAGAGGAACAGATTATTTCTGTGAAGCTTCACTCCTCTAACCTTTTATGGATGGCAATACATGGACAAATCAATCAATCAATCAATCAATCATATATATATATATATATATATATATATATATATATATATANTTTTAGCAAGCTTGACTCTTTTTGGTAACAATACTATTCGTCCAGTCTTACAATATGTTTGTATGGAACAGAAATAAAAAAAAAACAAACATAAAAGTGAAGCTTATAGTGGACCTTTGAGATGGGTATTATTCATAGTGAGATAAAATTGCTTTTAATGCATTTTTCTGTTTTTCTTTTGATATTAGTTATGGGCAGAATTAACTCAGTTTAATAACAGTTCAATTAATCTAATCTTTTACTTAACAAGTTGATACAAGTTAAAAAAAAAAAAAGCTTTACTTTTTAAGTTTTGAATTATTATTTCAAAAAGAAAAATTGTAATTATTGTAAATTTTTCATACATTAAGCCAGTATAAAAGACTTGATATACTTGTGATGTGTGTAAGGCAAATGCATAAATGATATTGGGAAATATAAACAACCAAGTATTGATCTTTTATGATATGAAAGGTTATCAAAGAAGATAGCATATGTCTTTGCGTCAGTGATGGATCTCAATTGCCCCTGATTGCTGCAGCTTTAGGAGCTAAAAAAGTAAGTTACACTGTAATAAAACATTCAGCTCAAATTTTTATGAGACTTCTTTTTAATATACTGTGTTTATGTATCCTGTAGATAAACAGGTGGAACCCTACTTTCTAGTTTTAACTGTGCCACATTTCCTTTGTTTAAGTCAGATAGTATCTGGCCTATGTAAGGAGGTTGGTACATACACACAAGCATACGTGTGTGCAATCTCAGTTATTGTGAGTTGATATTTGATCTACAGGCTCGTACCACAAAAACCTCATTTTACCTAGCTTAGGTCAGCATGCATGCGTGCACATTTGTGCTCAGACAGGTACACATGCACACAAACATATATCAGCATGGGCAATCTCAATTGTCATTGATTTATATTATATTACATTTTTTCAGGTGTATGTCACAGAAACCTCGCCTGCCTCCAGGACGCTGAGCAGAGATTATGTGAAGTCCAATAATTTGGACAGTGTGGTCACCATACTGGACAAGAGTCCTGGGGATATAACACAGGAGGATTTAGGTGGAAATAAGGTATCAATTAACAGGCAGATTATCATAATTTATTATTATTGTTGTCGTTGTCATGACACCAGTCAGATATAAATTGAGATTGAACTACAAACAAGGTGACTTGGTTTATGTAGATTGGATAAAACAAAACTGGAATATGATAGAAATTCAAATACAATTTTTTTTTTCAGATTTCAAATATGTATAGCAGAACTGTATGTCTGCCTTTCTGGTACAGCTTGTCCCATATTACATAATGGTAAAGTTTATTTGAGATTGCAGCCGTTATCTCCACTTGCCCCATTCATTATAATATCTTTTTATTTCAGATCACTTTGTTTATGGCAGAACCATATTTCTACTCGTCACTTCTTCACTGGCATAACCTGTATTTCTGGTACAGCTGGTCACATTTGTCAGACCTCATGGTGGACAGTGTTACCATACTGCCTAGGAGAGCCATCTTAAAGGCTGTAGCAATGGAGTTTGACAACCTGTGGAAGATCCGGGCACCTGTGGGGAACTGCGAGGGATTCGACTTAGGACAGTTCGATCAACTTATTGAGGTAAGTTTAATGGGAAAATTACTGTAAAAATTGAGAAAGCATGACTTGTTTTATAATTCAAGAATGCTGTTTCAGACTTTTTTTTACCATTTTGAGATATCATTCAAGAAAGTTGCTTATTTTACTTAAAAAATATTATGATAATGAAAAAATATTGAATTAATTTTGGTGTTTTTCTCATGTTTTTTTGTATTTGATGCAATATTAAAGTATGGGGATGTAAAAACTGCATGCTTTGAAAAACAGTTGGTCTTATTCTCCTTAATTTTTCCAGTTCAAAAGCAGGGATGAAAGATTTATTGTACTACATAGACAATATTCACCATCATTATATGTTATCTGAAAATTCCTCTCTGTCTCTTTATTCACAATATGGAATTATGAAGGTGCTGCACTGACACTCCACCCACCAAGTTTTTCTGAAAGTTCAGGTGCCTCAAATTGACCAGCAAATATGATAAAAATACAGTAAAGAGTCTTTGATTATCAGCATATTGATTCTCTTTACTTAGAAGTAAATAATGGTTTGTTAATCAATTCAAGGCACCTAAACAACTGATGGCATCTCCCTTGTAAGATCAGGTGAAAAAAGGTTAATATATGACTTTAATGAAATCATTTCAGAAGGCCTGTGATATTTCTGATGACAGTGTGGAACCCCAACCACTATGGGAGTATCCTGGAACAGCTGTGTCCACTCCATTTACTCTGCTGGAACTGGACATGACAACACCGGTCTCTCAGATCACACATCTGATCAGAAATGAAGGGACTATAGCATTGCAGGGGTAAGTTGATTTGCCTTTTGGGCCAGAAAAAAGAGAAATATATGTATAAGGAGTTTATGTGATATATATAATTTAATTATTCTGAACAGCTGAAAACCTGGGGGGTGGGGGGCATTAATCTGTGACCATTTACTTGGGTGTTATTCCCCTTGATCTATCTGTTTTCCAAACGAGTGTTATAACATCAGTTTTAATTGTGGCATATATGCTGTAGAGATATTATAAAGAAGTAATGCCATTTTTTTCCTTTTATCCAATAAAAATGAATCATTTCAGCAGTGATACTTGCCATGGGGTGGCTATTTGGATGGAATATGACTTGGATGATGACCACACAGTATGTACTGGACCCAGGGGTCAGCAAGTTCAACCAGGGGTCAAGGTCAACTGGGATTATTACACCAGACAGGGTGTACACCTTTTTAAAACACCAGTTAAAGTGACTCCAAGGACAAGTGTTACTTTCAGTGCTTTGTTTAATCCCAGTGATGGTGATGTGAAACTGAATTTTAACGTGTGATAAGGTTAATTTTTCTAATGTAAATAAATTATTAATTTTTTAATGGAAATAAATGATTGATTATTATTATTATCTTTGTATGCTTTAATAACGAAAAGGCAGTTTTGCACCCTTAATTTCATATACAGAAACTGCTATTTCTGAGGAACTTAAATGGAATGAAGCTAAAAATCGGCAATCAGCTTTCCTAAATGTTTCTTTTTTGTAAAAAAGGTTCACCTTTGATTTTGAATGCAACTTTTTTATTCTTTATCCTTTGTGAAATGAGGTCATTTTACTGGGCAATTTGTGATTGTCACTTTCCTTTTTCAGTGACATGGCTAGTCTTTTTTAAACTGTGATAATATAAATTTGTGATTATATTTTCTGTGAACCGTGATCACTACCCTCCGAAATGTGACCCTCATCATAAATCACCATATTCAAAAACTGTGTCTAATTCCTTGTACCCTCTTGGTTGAGATGTCCACTTTAATAATCATCTTTTTTAAATAGGGTCTTAATCTTATTGCAAAAAAGCAAAATTTTGGGCCAGTTTATGTCTACTTAAATGGATCTATCAGTCGTTATGTACCTTCCCACTAATTTTATTAGCAAACACAATAAAAGAAGTGCTAATCACACTGTATAAATGATTAATAGGAGTAAAATACTGTTCCATTTCAAAAACTAGCATGATCTGAAGTAAAAGTTAGGACAGTGTTTCTATTGTGTCATGGCTAGGTGAAAGAAAAGGTAACAAATGACACCACAAATATACAAAGACTATTATTATTAGTCCCAATAAAAACAAGTGAAGCTAAATTTACATAACCATATTACAGACAGACAAGAGCTCTGCATTAAAAGTGATCTACACAGTATGCTGTCTTACTCTAGCCAGCAGAGTTTACATCACAAAAAGATATCCTCCTACCCTAACCAATACCAGGATTTGATAACTATAAATAATATACTACAATTGACATCAAGAGGAACAGATTATTTGTCTGTGAAGCTTCACTCCTCTAACCTTTTATGGATGGCAATACATGGACAAATCAATCAATCAATCAATCAATCATATATATATATATATATTTTTTTTTTTTACAAAATGACCATTTATAAAAATGAGATGGTAAGTTACCTTGTAGATGACATTTCCAATATATAATATTGAACTACTATAAACCCAGATATAAACTGATATAAAAGTATGATACTAACTTCCAGCCAAATGCAATGAAATTCTCTCAGGTTGCATGGGGCACATGAACACAGCATTATCAAGGGTCACTCTCATTAGTAAATAGTAGATTACTTGATACTTGACGATATAGACTTTTAAACCACTGTCCCAGTGCCCTGGGACTGATGGGACAGCCAATCTAGTGACCTGTGGTGGTGGTATACACATTTCTAAACCCAAAAAATTGGCCTTAAATTTTAGACAAGTATATTTGGTCTACTTCAATACAAAATAAAACATTAGGAGTGTCTTTGAATTAAATATTAGCCTCTATCATAAACCATGCCTTTTGTGTTACAAAGCAGGAACAATGAAAATTTGGGGCTGTAGCGATAGTCCGAAGGTTCAATAGTCCGAAGGTTCATTGGTCCTAATGTTCACTATAGAACCTTCGGACAAATGAACCCTTGATTAAAAAATCGATGAAAATGTTACCACTTTTCGGACCAATGAACCTTCAGACTATCGAGACACCCCCGAAAATTTAATTGGACAACTTATTTTTCTTGTGACAAATTTCTGTCTTAAAGAAACGAGCCTCTGCTTATTCCAATATCTAAACAATGTTATAATAATTTTGCTTCGATTTGAAATCATATTTTACAGTATGTGTGATCTGATTTCTGTATCACAATATGTAACAGCAATAATATTAAGTTATACTTAACACTCAGTAAATTGTATGCAAAAAATTTTCAGACCTCGTATTACATAAACTACATCTTCTGCCATAGATGTGTATTCATGCCCCAAACATTAAGCCTTTGCAATGAAATACAGCATTATACAGTATTTGAATATATAACATGCTGAGCATATAAAATAAAGAGATATTGAAGCAATATATATATATATGTATTTAATTCTTCCCCCTCTGGTACATTGGTCACTTTTCTGAATTGATATACAGCGTATAATTCAACTCGACCAAAAACAAAAAAGAATAAAGTCTCAAAAGGATAGTTATGAAAAACAAAAAAGAAATAAATAGTAATAATTAACAAGGAAGACATGTCACAGAACCATTTGGTAACTTGTCCTATTGATGACAGCACATGACAGTAATCCAACACATGCAAAACAAGCCATAACATTACATGGCTTATAAATCAACCCATTGGTTTTTATCATTAATGAACCAGATCTTCAGGTTTTTAAAAAGTTGTCACTTGCACAGTCTTGTAAAGACATGATCACCATTAACAGTTATACACACACATACTTTACGATGATGCAGACAGACTTAAGAATTTGATTAAAATTTCTGGAGTAGAAATCTGGCAATGCAGAGGTAGTGAAGATTCTAGAGTACAGATCAGCAAACTGACCCTCTTCTTACTGGGACCACACCTTCAAAGTAAAAAAAAAATATACCAGGCAAAGGGGTGAGCCTGCTTAGAAGAGATATTAACCCTGTGATGCTTTGTATCAGGTAATGTCCATCAGCTGCTTGTTTGCTTGCTGATCCCATGTGCTATCCATATTCTCTCTTTGTTCTTTCAAATCCCAATATATGATTGGCAAATGATGATATTGATATCAACCATATCAACAGCTAGGATTGGACTTAACCTGCCAGGCTGCCACAGTAACTTCCCCACTCAAGGGGGTAAAAACTGGCCTTCACACCACCAATTTCCTTTGTTATACCCTTTCAGTAGATGAGTTATCACAGTTACCTCTTGAATTAATCAGGGATGAGACTGTTATTTTAGAGAAAAAGACAGAAAATATGGCATGGGATCCAGGGAGATGCATAGCCCAATGATATTTTTGGCTCCCAAAAAGTTGGAAATCTCCCAATAGTTGGAAAAATCTCTTCTTCTTCAATTCCTTACGTCAGCTAGGGTCTAGGGTACCAGCAAAGATTTTCCACTGATCTCTGCCATCTAGCAGAATAATCTCATCCTTGATTAATTTACACCACCTAAGCTTGGGCCTTCATCATAGGGCATCCTGCACTGCAGTGTTCTTCATATGCATGGCCTGTTCCATCCTCTCCATCCCCTTCTTGGCTGCGTGGGTCATCTCCTCAGCTTCCACTTTTATTGTTGATATCACCCACTCAATGGCCTGACGACCCTGAAATACAAAGAAAAATATGTTTTCCTGGCATACATCAACCTTCAAAATACAAAATGATATACTTTAGTTCCTTTCAGTGTTCAGAAGTTTTCATTGTATCATCAAAGTGTGTCATATTCAAAGCTGTTCTCAGTTAGTGAAATACAACAAAAATGAAACACTCGCAATTTGTAACCTTTTTAAAAAGTATAAGAATGCAAAAATATCAAGAGTATCTATATAACAATACCTTGTGAGCATTGGAATCAAAATTTCCCTCCAAAATTCCCTCTAATTTTCCTGCCAAGGGGACACCATGCACTGTAATGGCTGCCTCCTGCTTTAGAATGGTTCTAGAGTGAAAAAAATCACCTCCCTTGTTACTTTTAAAACTTCCATTAACTCTTAAATGTTGCATTTTAAAAGACAGAAATAAAATGGAGTATTATTGTTTTGCCCTTTGTGAGCCTATTTTAGATGAAGAAGAAAAACATTCCAGTAATAATAATCTCAATTTAACATCAGAGTTGATGACATTCTTGGCTGGATTTAGAGGCTGAGTAAAAAAATCTTAAAACAGTAAACATATTCTTTACCAAAACATTACAGAACTCACTTGTTCTTATCTTCAGGGTGAGGAGTGTACACCAGGGTCTCGTCTACGGACACAAAATTGTGATAAGTCATCTGGAAGGATACATAAAATACATTTTCTATTGTTTGAACATTTCCTAATTTCATTAACATATTTTAATATATATGCTCATTTGCCCAACTAATTTTAGTATATTCATGAAGGCCCTGAGGTATACATGTTAAGTTACAAATAACATCCCCAGGACCTTCCTATATATTATATAGTATTATACTTATAAGATGATCTTATTTCCAGCCTCTCCAATGCCTGCAACTTAGTTATCCATTGAAATGATTTATCAGACCATAAAAAATAATTTGAGATCATTATTATAGTCAATATTAAGATTGGTGCATTTTTTTTTATAAAAAGGAAAGCATAATATATACTGATTCTTATTTTTAAGTTAAAGATAACATCTATGAAACTTATTTTAAGAAACAGAAAATTTACCAGATCCATTTCTTCCAGTATAGTTTACAAATGATAAGTACAATTGAACTAAAACAGACCAATACATATTTTATTTATAAGTTGACTGACATGCTATTTAAAGATAAAACTAAGGCTCACATTCTGGGACTTCAAAACCATAGTTTTGTTAGCTGGGTCCACCTTAGAGTGCTCACTCACAAAACAGTCCTTGCTCATTCCAACCAGCTGAAAAAAACAAAGCCAGGTAGGTATTAGTTCCAACAGGAGTAGTACACTGTATGCAACACACAAAAGCATTATTATGTAGAAGCTCAGCTGAAAATCCTTAAAATGTAGCCTGCATCTTGTCATTGGATTTAGTCCATTAAAAAAATATTTTTAAGGTATGAATTAAGCAATTTTTTCTTACCTTTATCACCCATCCAGGAAATCCCCATTTGGTCCTCATTAACCTGTGTGACTGAAGGACCCCCTGCTGATCCACATGTCTGTTCACTACGTCCAGTCCTGTGACATTGGTATTGATGGGGTTGGGGTACTTTCTCTGGGCTGCAGTTACTACAGTTTCCCAAGGATGTCTGAAACATTCAACCAAGGAGTTCAAATAACTGTGCAAAATGAGATAGATCTTAAGTTTTAAATTAGTTATAAATTATTTACTGAAGCTCAAACAAGTGACATGTGCTTTAAACAAACAAAAAGAAAAGAACTGTACTACTCTATACAAGAACTCACAGCAATCATTTAAAATGTCAAACTATTTTTTGTAAACCATGAGTCCTGAGGAATACTGATTTTGAATATATGTAAAATGTTTTTTAAATGTAACATGAGTATGTATGATGTATGATTGTGGTTGTAGAGAAGTGTGTTCGTGACTTATCGTTTGTGTCCGTGTGTCTTCGTTTCTATATAAATCACGCCCCTCTTTGTTTCGCGGCACATTCGTTTCTTGTTTCTGCCATGTTCACACGCAGGTATGATAGACTTGATTGGTTTACTTTTCATTTTCTTTGTGTTTAGATTTTGTATTTCTCTAAGTTTAGTTTGATCATTTCAGTGCTTATCATTTATTTTCATCCTTGTTTAGTTTAGAAATTTAGTAAGTATCTTTAGTTCATTAATGTTATTCATTTAATTTTTTCTAAGTTTGTTCAGTTCTGCATAAAGTTCATTTTATTTATTTGTAAATTATTAAAAGACATTCGTTTCTTGTTTCTGCCATGTTCACACACAGAGTACACTCGGGTTCGTAAATAAAGTATATTGAGAGCTGTTACATAAATATTACATTGTTTTTAATGCTAAACTAGCCCACTAGGTGTAGGCTTCTCACTGATCTCAGCCGAGTAAGGTGACAGTAGAAAGTGATTTAAAAATGTCAAGTTTTTGTCAAAAATCACGCATTGCCCCTTTATGACATTATGATGAATATATAGCTTTTAAGTCATGAGTTGGGGCCATTTCATTATGTTGTTCGAATATAGAAGATAAGTAAGAGAGTTTACTATAATCCTAGAACGAATATCTTGACATGATCGTGTCGCAATCTCAGTCGCTGTTGCTTAAGGCTTAGAAGCTGAAACACGTGAAAAGAGGAAACGCCGGACGAAATAAATCAAACATATAAAGCACCTTTTCTAACCAAACACTTACTCAAATATATGTTGAGATGACCAGATCTTCATTTTCTCAAATGTTTCAGTAATAATTTCGCCAGATTTCGCACGGCACCTGCACCAGACGTGACACTCTTTCGTCAACCAAAGCACCTCCTTAAGGAGTGCATTGGGCAACAGAAAATAGCCCAAAATATACTATGAGTTGATGAGAAAGACGAATCAGAAGTAAGCGTATGCTACCGATTAACAAACAAGCATATTTGTTGAAATAATGAACTACAACGTGTATCAAAATGATTAATCTAGGTATTTTTGGCGCAAAGTAAGTGACCCACTTTTGTATCAATACGCGTGAGTAGCTGTGGTTTGTTAAGATTATTTTGATTTGCTGGTAATTTTAGATCGGATTGTGGTCCAATGAATTGACTTGTAACATTTCCTTTCGGATCCTTGACAACAGCGGCAAGATGGCGGTGAAAACAGTAACGTAATGGCAATGTACATAAAATTTTTCATGATTTATAGAGAGAAATGATACTTTTTGAATGTAAGTATACATTGCGTTTAATGCAGTATATGGATATAGAAGCTCTGATGACGATGCGTTGAACGTAAACCTTTTGCTTAACTGTAAAAGCAGCTATTTGTTCTAAACGCGCACTTGCAAAAATCCAATTTTTCACTTTAGGCTTGCCATTGAATTTTTCGTAGTTTCTATTTATTTTTTTTTAATGGTGTTACCTTCGGCTATTGTAAAATTCCTGGTTTAAAGTTTTTAGAGGTGTCAATTAATGTAGTTAACAAACGTATGCTCACGTTATTAGACTTGAGTGAAATAATTTTGATTAAAAGTCTACTTTGATTTGATAGAATAAGTAAAATATACTGATATATTATGTTCATTTAAGTGAAAATTACAAAATTTCCTATATGTAAAATGACATGCACTTTGCATAAGAAATACACAACATAAATTGAAATTATAAAGTTTCTTTATTAAAGTAAAAAAATACCCAAGAATTTGATTTGTTTTTGTTTTTTTATTTTTAGAAATAAGTAAGCCAAAGAAATCAAAATGCCTATTGGGCCATTTGGAGAAATTGTGGGTACAACAGGTACCCTAGAAGGTGTTGCAGAAGGTGCTAAGAACTACAAAAGCAATGTTGTGGTTCCAAGAAATCCTAAAGTTGTTAAACCTGATGAACCTGGATTCAAGGTAATTTGACTTGAGTGTGAATTTTTTAAATGCCGTAGCCAAGGTCTTCTGAAGGTGTTAGTATCCTCTTGAAAAACATTTTAATATAATATCAAATGGGTGATATGGATTTTGTTGTCAGCTTTTAGCTTAAACTGTTGAATCATCTTGGCATATGACTTCAGATTATCAGATATTTCATTATGATCAAGTTAATGTCTGTTTGTTAAGCTACTGTATAAGGGTATACCATAAATTTCAAACATTTAGGCAGAACTAATTTTCTATCACAATTCAATCATATAAATTCAACAAAACTGCTCATGTAACTTTGTGTCTGAAATTTCAGATGACACCTTCAATCTACATGTTTCAAATGTCTCTGGACACAGAGAAAAAATTAGCTAACACTCATGACATGAGAATCCCTAAGAAAGTGGAACTTTTGGATATGGGAGAGACAACATACCAACTGGTAAGCTAATCAATAATTTATGTCCCTTTGTGCAAGTCCTATTCACATTTTTTAAAAGTTAAAATCAAGATCTAATTAAACTCTAATCATGGTGCAATGGTGAAATTGGTGCAATGAAATTATTTATATACTTGAAAACTAAATGTTTTAAAGATATAGATATTTGTTACTAAGATTAAGTATGAGAAATGTTGATCTTCACATATATTTCACTATTAACAGAACAGTGGTTTTGTCTACCTAGTAAATGATCTCTGAAGTATTGAATTCTATACAGTTTTTTCTTATTTCTTCTTTTTTGTATTTTCACACTTCAGGTTTCACATGTCTCCATAGATGAGTGCATGTTTCAGCCATTTCCTTCAGAAGTCTTCTTTCAAAATTACAAACCTTTTGAGACCTATGAAATCCCTTTAGTCCTCAGAAACAATGACAAGGTAAGTTAAAGACAGATGTTAAACAGAGTCTGTTCATGACATCTACATCGTATTTCATTTACACATTATTTCGAATATTAAAGCAAACTATTGGTGAGGGCATATCTTGTAAATTAAAAAAAAAGTGACTGATGTTCCGTAACTACTAGGTACTTGTATGTCATTCATTGCATTTATTGAGAGATTTAATTCACATGAAAACAATTAAAGAAATGTCTGTTTACAGTTTTATTTTTAATTGTGAAAATACAACAGGTACCCTAATAATGTTCACAATGTTATATGTTTGTGCAGGTTCCCAGACTGGTCAAGGTGACCCAGGCAGACTCCCCATACTTCAAGATCATCAGTCCAAATGATGTTGGCCACAAAGTGGGCCCTGGCCTGCCCCGGACATTCAGGATTCTCTTCACACCTGATCAGATTAAGGTGAGACAATGAACTGAGTCATTTTTGTTTTCCAGTGAAATAGGGAAATGGTGATAAAAATACCTTGTGGCCCGTGGGTAGAAAAATATATTTAGTCTCATTAGAAGTGATTGATCTTTTCTATTATTTTTAATTTTGTAATCAGCTCATTAAGTTGTAAAATTTATACAATGCACAATAGATATGTGTGCTAATGAAAAACTTGTTTAGAGAGATGATTCTGAATGCACACTTTTATTTTTGAAAAATGTTAACAATAACCAAAAAAGAGTTATGTTGGATATTTTAATTTTTAAGGAAAAATATGAAGTATCTTTTTCAAGCAGTTTGCTTAGATATCAGAAAGTTCTCAGTGTGTAACTCTGTATAGTAGCTGTTTATCAGTTGTAAATTGAACATCTGGATTTTAAAAGTTAACATACTTTGAACCCAGTAACAGAGCAGTCGTCCTGTTTTCCAGTTATATGATTCTATGTAATCGTGACTTTATTACTCCAGGACTACAACCATGAACTGGTGTGTGTCACAGAAAGAGAAAAATTCATCGTCCCTGTGAAATGTATAGGGGCCAGAGCTCTCCTGGATTTTCCAGATGAAGTCAATTTTCCTGTCAGTCCAGTGAAGTATCCGTCCACCAAGACGCTTTTAGTGAGGAACATTGGAAATATGGATGCAAAGTTTGACTTAAAAACAGAAGAGTGAGTGATGCTGTTATCTGTTGGCATAGGCTTTTTTCATTGACAGTTGAAGAGTTATATACAAGCTGCTTTTACATAAATGTAAACATATTAGATTTTCAGTTGTTTTGAAATCAATCTGGAAGACACCAGTTGCAATATTTAATTATGTATAATAAAGTAGAAGGGAAGAGGGAATAAATAATTGTTCATTTATAAAACATACAGAACAGGCGTTCTTATTGGAGCACACAGTTTAAAGAATAGCTATAAGCAATGGGTAACATTTTAAAAGTACTTTAATGGTTCTCTTTCAGGCCTTTTAAAGTGAGCCCTCTCAATGGAGTTCTTCCTGTAAATGAAAGCATGCAAGTGACCATAGAATTCAAGCCAATGACTGTGGGTGACCACTGTAAGGACCTCATATTGCACCTGGACACAGGTAAACTCACTTGTTGTTTTACAGTTTGCCAGAACATCATCATATCTCTGTCTTTATTTTAATTTGTCTTTATTCTGAAGGTGCATATACAGCATGGCATTGTTTTTAATCATACATTTGTATTACCCATTTGCTTAAAATGTGAAATTCAATATAGATTGCATTCATAATGTGAAATAAATAAGTTAAACATGATATCTAAAGAGTGACTTTGAATCTCTTTGATTTGTATTTCCTTTGAAAGATATATATATATATATATATATAATATAATCTCAACTTGTGCAGTAGGTCTGATAGATTTGGTAGATGTTTTATTAATTTTTATTCCCTTCATTCAGGAGAAGACATATATATCAGTTGTTACGGTGCAGCACAAGATGCCAATGTGCGTTTGGACAAGAACTCCATTCGTATAGAAAACACATATATCTCCATGGCCAACCAGAGGACCATCACCATCATCAACCGCAGCGATGTGATCGCGCACTTCCACTGGACACAGTTTGCTACACAGCAGGAAGAGGACATGCAGAAAATGAGGTAGGAGCAGAGGGTCTGTAAAATGTGTGATATAAAATTCAAGGTAAACATTTTTTTGTTATGTTGTTGTGTGGAAAGGTAGGTTTAAATCAGTTATAAAGGAAGAAATGGGTCAAACTTGGTGATAGAGTCCAAATATAACTCTATGGCCAGTTTGCTAAATTTGAATCGCAATCTTGATATGTATGAGACAAATGAAAAAAGTTCAATTAAAATACATATAGATGCAGTAACAGTATGAAAAAAATGAATAAAACAAGTGGAATTTCCAAGTTAAGATATGAATGACTTCAAATAAGGTTATAGTAATAATTTTGTTATACTGCTCAAACCAGAAACCAGATAAAAAAGTGAATTAGAAAAAAAAGATTAATGAAGATATGAAAAAAAATAAAATAAAATATACCACACATGATATTTGACTGAAACCAGAGCTAGTTCAGTTTTTATACCTTGCTGACTTGTTGTTCTTGTCAGGTATTGCCAGGACCTGGAGAAAGAGGAGATGTCTGAGACTGACAGGTTTCTGGAGGAATGCATCAGTGACCCAACACTCAGAGACAAAATGTCTGTACTTAGTAGGACATTCCAGAACAGAAAGAAAGTAAGTAAATATATGTATGTTCAGTACAGTACATGCACAAGGCCAATTGCCTAATTTTATTGTTAAAATACCTGTGTATATATACATTCCCCCTAAATTTGGTGTTTTCTGTTAATTTCTGGGATCAAGGAAATATTTATGAATTTTGCTATGTAATTAGATTTTTCAATTATTTGATAATAAATTGAATTGGGTAAAGAAATTTCAGTGCTTTTAGTTTTTTGAAGTATATCATCCTGAGCCTTTGGTAAAGATTTTTTTACTTATACTTTTTGTTGAATTGGATATTTAGATTAAATTTGAATTATTCATATCACAATACTAATCATGTTATGAATTCATATATGGCACGAAAATTTGAATATTTAACTATATTTTCAAATACTTTCATCACAAAAATATATCAGAACAGTTTTTAGTTGAACACCCATGTATAAAGATTTATCCTTTTTCCCAGTTGATCGGCAATGACAAGATGCTGTTCAGTGATAACGTGGTGAGGATAGAGCCAGTGGAAGGGGACATCTGGCCCAACTCCTCCGCAGAGGTCACCATGATCTTCAAACCCGACCAAGCCAAAAACTACACAAGGACAGCCTTCTGTGACGTCACGGGGCGCGAGTCGCGTCTGCCACTGCGCATCCAGGGGGTCGGCATGGGCCCAAAAGTTCAGTTCTCCTTCGATGTCCTAGACATGGGGAACATATTTGTGAACTCGACACACAGTTACGAGGTTGTCTTGGCTAATAAAGGGGACATAGATGCCATTTTCACCCTACTCCCCAATAACAGCATATTTGGGCCCAGGTTTACCTTCAACCCGTCAGAGAGCATTGTAATGCCAGGAGGGCACCAGGCAATCCAGATCACATTCAACAGTCCAATCCTAGGGGACTTTCAGGAAGACTTCTATTTTCAAGTGGATGGGCAACCTGAGAAGCTGAAACTTACTTTTAGGTATGTTGTGATTTTGTCTTCATTAAATAGACATGGAAAAACTTGTCACATTTGTAAATTCATGACGTTTTTTATAAATTTAAAATTTAAGAAGCACTAATAGAAGTAACTGTTTTTTTTTTTTTTTTTTTTTNAAACTTGTCACATTTGTAAATTCATGACGTTTTTTATAAATTTAAAATTTAAGAAGTACTAATAGAAGTAACTTTTTTTTTTTTTTTTTTTTTTTGTCTGATTCTGATATTCCTGATTTGCATCATGTATGTTATTATAACCCATGATCACAATTTCCATTACAGTGGCTCAGTGATTGGCCCAACCTTCCACTTTGATGTGCCAAAACTGGAGTTTGGAACAATCTCCTACGGCTTTGTGAATACGCGTCACTGCACCCTGGTGAACACTGCTCTGGTGCCCATGACCTTTAACCTGCGTGTTCCTGGTGATGGGATAAGTGACAGCATCTCCAGTCTCAGTGACTATGACAGTAACTATAGTGAGGCGGGCTCCATGCTGCCACCTAAGGTAAAAATATACAGTGTTTTCTTATAGTGGTTAATAATGGTAATAGAAATTGCTTGTAATGTTTTTGAAATTGACTTTCGATGAGCAAGACGAGAGAGCAATAGAGAGGGAGAGAGACCCAGTTGTACTTGCAGTGCATTCAAAATATTTCTACTAAAATTTAATTTGATCTGTGATCTTCTAAATACTCAGCTTTGTTCAATTACTGGCCACTATTTCTGTTTGGGTCAGTCAGTTATTAAGTCCTGGTGTCCCATTGAGCTAGTTGGCTTTAAAATTTTTGGAACAGACTTACTTTTAAGGCAAGCAAAAGAATTTGTCAAAAGAAAAAAAAAAAGAATAAAAAATTCAGCAAAGAGTGAATTTAAAAGAAAAACAATGTAAATGTTCTCCAGGAATTTGAGGTGGTCCCCAGCACTGGTACCCTGCAGCCCCAGAGTGAGGTCCGTATCCAGGTGAATGTCACCTCAAACACTGTGAAGAAATACGACATGGCCTTGGTGGTGGATGTGGATGGGGTCGGGGATGAGGTGGTCTCTCTGCCCATCACAGCCAGGTAGGTATTGTGAGAACTTTTTTTATGGCAGCCCTGGAGCCAAAAGAATTGTCAACAATATATATTTGCCAACACTGATTCTGATTCTGTCTGGTTGTATTTTTTTTTCTTTTTACAGAATTTGGTTTGAAGTACATCTTGTTGAATTTAGAATATAAAAATTTCAAAACTTATGCTCAGACTACTTTATTTATTTTTAAAAATGTTTTTCTTATTGTTGTGATGGTTTTTGTTTCTTTTAAATTTCTTCTTTTTTTAAATGTATTTTACCACCATCACTATAATATTTAAAACCAATATTTTGAAAGATTTTCACTTACCATCTATTTACTGTACAATTCCAGGTGTGTTGTACCACCAATCACAGTGTTAACACCAATCCTGGACTATGGTCGCTGTTTCCTGCGCCACCCGTATGAGCGTTATGTGAAACTCCACAACGACACAGACCTGCCAGCCAAGTATGAGCTGTTGGTGCAGCAGGTGGATGAGATGACCACCATATTTTACCACAGCCCTCAGCCCAAGGTCAGTATCATCTAACTCATGAAAGATCATTAGCGCATTTTAAACTGACTTGTTGAATGTTTTATAATCTGACTCATTTTGAGTGATCATGGTGCTGGGCTGTTGATAAGCGAAGAAAATACTTGACTTGTTGACACATGTTGTCATTCCTCTTATTTAATACATTTACGAAGCATAGCTGTTGTTGTTTTGTAATTTTTTTTTATTAAACAGAGCAAAAATATTGGTGTTTTTGCTGTGATTATTTGCAAATTTTTATGGATTCAATTTCTGAACTTACACTGCTAGGACTTAGACTACATTGAAATGGAGTCAAGGAAATGTGTGTACTCTACATCGCAGCTTGATGTCTAGTAATTGTTACTAGCTTAGATATTTAATTCTTTGTCTGTTCTCAGGGAATCCTTGCACCCAACTCTGTTATGGATGTCCCCCTGATTATAGAGCCCCAAGGACTGGAGGAACTGGAGTGTGTGGCTCTCTTCCTCATATTTGGCAGTGGAGAGGTGCCATTGGTAAGTTATAATGTTGATTATTATATAATAATCCACAGCATGAATACAACTGAAGTGCTTATCATATTTTATGACTTCATTTTGAAGTTTGGAGATTTTGATGTCATAAAATATGGCACATTTTCAGGTTTTAGAATTTTTTAAATCTTGTTTCTTTTTTAAGTTTTCATTTTTATTCAAAATTTAGATTTTGACTAAAAATGATATTTTTTAATCGTAATTTTGAAAACAGTTTTAAATATGTAAAATATGTTTTTTAATCTTTTCTGTCCACCAGCCTGTCCAGTTGATATGTATAGGAGAGGGTCCTGTCGTCCATGTGACTCCACTACAACTGGACTGGGGTCAAATGCCTGTACTGACCGATGTCTCCAAGACAATAAAGCTGTCCAATGAGTCACTTATTCCAGCCAAATTCACTGCTCATATGGTAAGGGTAGTATAATCCACTTTGAAGAAAATCTTTTGATTCATTCTGGTAGTATGCTGGCTCCACACATTAAAAAAATGAAAGATCTTTCCATCTCTATTTTATCATTGCATTAGTCTTTTAACATAGTCATAAAGTGTCTATCATCATTTTCATTATTATTAAAGAATATTTCATATCTCTTCAAATTTTATGAAATAAGTTTTGATTTGTCATCATCATTATACAGGTCCGTCCTAATTCCAACTGGTGCGTGGAGCCAAGAGAGGGTGAGATTCCTGCAGAAGAGGTCCTAGAGCTCACGGTCACAGCCAACCTGGACGACTGTGTCCGGTTCCAGGATAAGTTACAGGTCAATTTCCTAGAGGGACAGTCCAGAACTATTCCAGTTACTGGCTATGGCTATGGCACCACCATAGCCACAGACCCTCCCATGGCTGAGGGGGTCAACCTGGGACCTTACTTCAGGTAAATTAATCACCAAAGCTCTGGAAAGACTTTTCTTTGTCAGTAATGAGAAAAAAACATACTCTTTTGAAACTTCATTGATACTCTTTTGAAACTTCATTGAAAATTCATGTGTTGTTTTATTGGGATCACCTTTGAGATAAACAATTTTTTCTATTTGTTCTTTCAGTAAGAACCCTTGCCGCAAGGTGTTCAGACTGACCAACAAAGGGCGTCGCCTCCAACAGCTTGTGTGGACCACCGAGGGCTACTCTCTCCTTCGTGCCAAAAGAGACACGGTTGAACCAGACACCAAGGATGTCAGATACAAGAACATGCCCCCAGCCCCTGAGCCCTGGCAGCCCATCTTCAAGCTGACTCCAGCCAGGATTGAACTGGTCCCTGGGGAGAGCCAGGATGTGGTGCTGGAGGGATATGTTGACATGTACGTAGATAATTACAGAACAGAAATAGGAATGAGTTTGTCCTTGGAGCTAGTTTGAAAAGGTTTACTTGGGAATATCTTTTTGGGATTCTCTTTTTCAGTTAGGCTACTCCAATAAGTTTGTTTGATAAGATTTTATAGAAATGTGTTGAATTTTAAGTACATCAAGTGTTAGTATACTAAAAAAAAAAAAAAAAAAAAAAGAAAATCAAATGCCCAACTTAGGAGTAAGTCTTAGAATGATCAAGATGTTATTGGCATTTGAATTAAAAGTTGTATCACTGATTATGCCATTTCAGGCTTCATGTTCACAAATATTTTGTTATGTTCTCATATTGATAATGCCATTTCAGGCCTCAAAATGTCCATGAGACACTACTCTGTCATGCTATCATAGGCCGTAGTGGTGGCAAGGAGCTGATCATGAGGGTGGACATTAGGGCAGAGTTCATCAGCCCATTGCTGGATTTCTCCTCCAGAAATGTGTTCTTCAGGGTGGACAAGGTGAGTGCAGGCTTCTAGTTTATTTTCAACTACTCTGGCTTTGAAAGTTGTTTGAAATATTGTAGATAGTTCTGTCAAGAAAAAGGATGCATGTTTATAACAATAAGTTTGTTATGTATGTTTTTATGAATGTAGTGGTCTTGTTCTTCTTGGTGTCTTTGTGCTGAAACATTTTTAATTGTCTGAAAAGGAAAAAAAAGTGCCCATTTCTTAGCATCTTGATGAGGAGTAAAGGAATAGCATTTCCTTGCATGACAAGATAATGTAAAGTTATATCAATTATTATCTTTCTTCAGCATCCAGAGGAAGAACTGAGTCTCCAGACCCAGGACTTTACCCTCAGCAATGTGTCTAGCCTTCCACTGAACGTCATGCTGGGCCTCAAGTATCCATTTCAGCTGGTCATCAGAGAAGGACAGGATAAGAAGATCTGCTCTGAGATGGTGGGTTAATAACTGCTTATAATTTTTCTCAAAAGATTATTAGGTTATTGTTATCAATTGAGATAATATGTTTCAATATATCATGGTTTAGCATTACTGACTTTTAGTGGTGTGTTTTTTATGACTATAAAAACTCTAAAAACAGTGATTTGAAAATTGGTTATTGATATAGACTCTGTGTAGTAATGGAAAAAGTATTCTTTATTGAGCAGAATTTTAAAAAAGAAGTTTAGACAGTTGCAAGATTGTGCATTAAATGTTCAAAATCAGGTTACAGTAAATTCAGCTGTGGTCATGACAAGGGGAAGGGTTTTACTCCTTCATTAGATTGTTGGCCTCCACTCGTGTTTTTGTGATTAATGACCTTATAACTAAATTCCAATGCTTTCCATATCAGATTCTTCAAATAAGTAGAGAGTTCTGTAAACCGGACTTAAGTTTGTTCAGAGCTGAACTTACCCTGCTTACTCCCTGGCACAGTTCAGTTAAAAAGATCTCTTCCTTGCAGGAGATGAGCCTTGCCATAGGGGAGTCTCAGACCATCAGAATCCAGTTTGATCCCTCCTACAAGGATGATTTCCACATTCGTACTGCGGAGGAAGTGCTGACAGTGGCCTACAAAGAACACCCACATGTGGTAAATATGATGAACAGCATATTTGCCAAATAAAAAAATTGAGTCATTAGTGCATTATAATGGGCTACTGTTACTTGTACATTTTCACTTCTTTTCATGTGCACTTTGTGACTTTAATGAGGAGATACTGGAATTGCTCTACATATTAAAGTATTTGATTATTTATACAATGTTCTAGAAATGCATTTCTTTTCCATGTATGGTTCTGTTGTAGAAAATGCTGAAAAAGTTATATTGATTTAGCTTTTTTATTTTTGTTGCAAAATGATGGTGGTTTGTTCATGAATAACTGAAACATCTATATGCATTTAACCTATCCATCCATCCATCCATTCATCTCTAGGACTACATCGCCCTGAGAGGAGAAGTCTACTTTCCCAACTTAGAATTTGAGAAGAGTGTAATAAACTTTGGCTGTATCCTGAATGACACAGAGGTCACACGGTACGTCAACATCACCAACAACAGCCCTATGGAGGTCAAATACAAGTGGTGTTTCCTCATTGGTGATGAGCCTTGCACAGTTTTCCACAAGCGTCAGACTGTCACTCACCAGGTCATAGGGGAGGAGCTTGAAGAGTACTATGAGGAAGGTCAGAGTCAAGGTCGCTCCAGCCAAGGTGAAGGTCAGCCAGAGGGTCAAGGCCAGCAAGTTGAAGTGGAAATTCAGGACTCAGAGCAGTATGCTCAAGAGTTGGAAGAGTCAAGACAAGAAGAGAAGGTAAGAGAGATTCAGAGTAAATGGGTCCTGTTTCTTTTTTCGAATTATTTTGAAAACTAATTATTANGGGGATGAGGTGGTCTCTCTGCCCATCACAGCCAGGTAGGTATTGTGAGAACTGTTTTTATGGCAGCCCTGGAGCCCAAAGAATTGTCAACAATATATATTTGCCAACACTGATTCTGATTCTGTCTGGTTGTATTTTTTTTTTTTTTTTACAGAATTTGATTTGAAGTACATCTTGTTGAATTTAGAATATAAAAATTTCAAAAGTTATGCTCAGACTACTTTATTTATTTTTTAAAATGTTTTTCTTATTGTTGTGATGGTTTTTGTTTCTTTTAAATTTTTTTCTTTTTTAAAAAATGTATTTTACCACCATCACTATAATATTTAAAACCAATATTTTGAACAATTTTCACTTACCATCTATTTACTGTACAATTCCAGGTGTGTTGTACCACCAATCACAGTGTTAACACCAATCCTGGACTATGGCCGCTGTTTCCTGCGCCACCCGTATGAGCGCTATGTGAAACTCCACAATGACACAGACCTGCCAGCCAAGTATGAGCTGTTGGTGCAGCAGGTGGATGAGATGACCACCATATTTTACCACAGCCCTCAGCCCAAGGTCAGTATCATCTAACTCATGAAAGATCATTAGCGCATTTTAAACTGACTTGTTGAATGTTTTATAATCTGACTCATTTTGAGTGATCATGGTGCTGGGCTGTTGATAAGCGAAGAAGATACTCGACTTGTTGACACATGTTGTCATTCTTCTTATTTAATACATTTACGAAGCATAGCTGTTGTTGTTTTGTAATTTTTTTTTTTATTAAACAGTGCAAAATTATTGGTGTTTTTGCTGTGATTCTTTGCAAATTTTTATGGATTCAATTTCTGAACTTACAATGCTAGGACTTAGACCACATTGAAATGGAGTCAAGGAAATGTGTGTACTATACATCGCAGCTTGATGTCAAGTAATTGTTACTAGCTTATATATTTAATTCTTTGTCTGTTCTCAGGGAATCCTTGCACCCAACTCTGTTATGGATGTCCCTCTGATTATAGAGCCCCAAGGACTGGAGGAACTGGAGTGTGTGGCTCTCTTCCTCATATTTGGCAGCGGAGAGGTTCCATTGGTAAGTTATAATGTCGATTATTATATAATAAGCCACAGCACGATTGAAACTGAAGTGCTTATCATATTTTATGACTTCATTTTGAAGTTTGGAGATTTTGATGTCATAAAGTATTGCGCATTTTCAGGTTTTAGGATGTTCTTTTTCTTGTTTTCTTTTTAAAGTTTAAAAAAATTAAGATTTTGACTAAAAATGATATTTTCTAGTTGTCATTTTGAAGACAGTTTTTAAAAAAAATATTTTAAAATATGTAAAATATGTTTTTTAATCTTTTCTGTCCACCAGCCTGTCCAGTTGATATGTATAGGAGAGGGTCCTGTCGTCCATGTGACTCCACTACAACTGGACTGGGGTCAAATGCCTGTACTGACCGATGTCTCCAAGACAATAAAGCTGTCCAATGAGTCACTTATTCCAGCCAAATTCACTGCTCATATGGTAAGTTTAGTATGATCCTCCTCAAATAAGATCTTTGATATGATTTTAATACTATTGGTACAAATGCATCAAAGATCCTTCTTTTGTTCATTTCATTTAAACCAAATTGAAATTTTCTTTTTGTTTAATTCTTACTTTTGCAATGTTGAATTGATGCTTTGCTGCAATAAAAAATCAGATGTTTTTTATCGTGGAACTTCAGCTTAATGTTTCCATCCCCATGTAATTATTGTGACTTTCTTTTGTAAGGAATTGATCATTATTATCATTGTTATTTAAATATTAAATATTTAACATTTTTAATTTTATTAAATTATTTTTGATTTCATATCAATATATTTCAGGTCCGTCCTAATTCCAACTGGTGCGTGGAGCCAAGAGAAGGCGAGATTCCTGCAGAAGAGGTCCTAGAGCTCACAGTCACAGCTAACCTGGACGACTGTGTCCGGTTCCAGGACAAGCTACAGGTCAATTTCCTGGAGGGCCAGTCCAGAACTATCCCAGTTACTGGCTATGGCTACGGCACCACCATAGCCACAGACCCTCCCATGGCTGAGGGGGTCAACCTGGGACCTTACTTCAGGTAAATTAATCACCAAAGCTATGCAATGAGTTTTCTTCATCTTTAATGAGAAAAAAACATATTCTTGAACTTTCATTGAAAAGTCATGTGTTGTGTTATTGGCCTCACCCCAGTGATAAACAAGCTTTTGCATTTGTTCTTTCAGTAAGAACCCTTGCCGCAAGGTGTTCAGACTGACCAACAAAGGGCGTCGTCTCCAACAGCTTGTGTGGACCACGGAGGGCTACTCTCTCCTTCGTGCCAAAAGAGACACAGTTGAACCAGACACCAAGGATGTCAGATACAAGAACATGCCCCCAGCCCCTGAGCCCTGGCAGCCCATCTTCAAGCTGACTCCAGCCAGGATTGAACTGGTCCCTGGGGAGAGCCAGGATGTGGTGCTGGAGGGATATGTTGACATGTACGTAGATAATTACAAAACAGAAATAGGAATGAGTTTATCCTCGAAGCTTGTTTGAAAAGGATTATTAGGGAATATGTGGATTCTCTTTTTCAGTTGGGCTACTCCAATAAATTTGTTTGATAAGATTTTATAGAAATGTGTTGAATTTTAAGTACATCAAGTGTTAGTATACTAAAAAAAAAAAAAAAAGAAAATCAAATGCCTAACTTAGGAGTAAGTCTTAGAATGATCAAGATGTTATTGGCATTTGAATTGTTGTATCACTGATTATGCCATTTCAGGCTTCATGTTCACAAATATTTTGTTATGTTCTCATATTGATAATGCCATTTCAGGCCTCAAAATGTCCATGAGACCCTCCTCTGTCATGCTATCATTGGCCGTAGTGGTGGCAAGGAGCTGATCATGAGGGTGGACATTAGGGCAGAGTTCATCAGCCCATTGCTGGATTTCTCCTCCAGAAATGTGTTCTTCAGGGTGGACAAGGTGAGTGCCGGCTTCTAGTTTATTTTCAACTACTCTGGCTTTGAAAGTTGTTTGAAATATTGTAGATAGTTCTGTCAAGAAAAAGGATGCATGTTTATAACAATAAGTTTGTTATGTATGTTTTTATGAATGTAGTGGTCTTGTTCTTCTTGGTGTCTTTGTGCTGAAACATTTTTAATTGTCTGAAAAGGGAAAAAAGTGCCCCCCATTTTTTAGCATCTTGATGAGGAGTAAAGGAATAGCATTTCCTTGCATGACAAGATAATGTAAAGTTATATCAATTATTATCTTTCTTCAGCATCCAGAGGAAGAACTGAGTCTCCAGACCCAGGACTTTACCCTCAGCAATGTGTCCAGCCTTCCACTGACCATCATGCTGGGCCTCAAGTATCCATTTCAGCTGATCATCAGAGAAGGACAGGATAAGAAGATCTGCTCTGAGATGGTGGGTTAATAACTGTTTATAATTTGATTATTAGGTTATTATTATCAATTGAGGTAATATGTTTCAATATATCATGGTTTAGTATTACTGACTTTTAGTGGTGTGTTTTTTACGACCATAACAACTCTAAAAACAGTGAATTGAAAATTGGTTATTGACACAGACTCTGTGTAATAATGGAAAATTATTCTTCATTGAGTAGAATTTTAGAAAATTAGTTAAGACAGTTGCAAGGTAATGCATTAAATGTTCAAAATCAGATGACAGTAAATTCAGCTGTGGACATGACAAGGGGAAGGGTTTTACTCCTTCATCAGATTGTTGGCCTCCACTCTTGTTTCTGTGATTAATGACCTTATAACTAAATTCCAATGCTTTCCATATCAGTTTCTTCAAATAAGTAGAGAGTCCTGTAAACCGGACTTAAGTTTGTTGAGAGCTGAACTTACCCTGCTTACTCCCTGGCACAGTTCAGTTAAAAAGATCTCTTCCTTGCAGGAGATGAGCCTTGCCATAGGAGAGTCCCAGACCATCAGAATCCAGTTTGATCCCTCCTACAAGGATGATTTCCACATTCGCACTGCAGAGGAAGTGCTGACAGTGGCCTACAAAGAACACCCACATGTGGTAAATATGATGAACAGCATATTTGCTAAATAAAAAAAATTGAGTCATTAGTGCATTATAATGGGCTACTGTTAATTGTACATTTTCACTTCTTTTCATGTGCACTTTGTGACTTTAATGAAGAGATACTGGAATTGCTCTACATATTAAAATGTTTGATTATTTATACAATGTTCTAGAAATGCATTTCTTTTCCATGTATGGTTCTGTTGTAGAAAATGCTGAAAAAGTTATATTGATTTAGCTTTTTTATTTTTGTTGCAAAATGATGGTGGGTTGTTCATGAATAACTGAAACATCTATATGCATTTAACCTATCCATCCATCCATCCATTCATCTCTAGGACTACATTGCCCTGAGAGGAGAAGTCTACTTTCCCAACTTAGAATTTGAGAAGAGTGTAATAAACTTTGGTTGTATCCTGAATGACACAGAGGTCACACGGTACGTCAACATCACCAACAACAGCCCTATGGAGGTCAAATACAAGTGGTGTTTCCTCATTGGTGATGAGCCTTGCACAGTTTTCCACAAGCGTCAGACTGTCACTCACCAGGTCATAGGGGAGGAGCTTGAAGAGTACTATGAGGAAGGTCAGAGTCAAGGTCGCTCCAGCCAAGGTGAAGGTCAGCCAGAGGGTCAAGGCCAGCAAGTTGAAGTGGAAATTCAGGACTCAGAGCAGTATGCTCAAGAGTTGGAAGAGTCAAGACAAGAAGAGAAGGTAAGAGAGATTCAGAGTAAATGGGTCCTGTATCCTTTTTCGAATTATTTTGAAAACTAATTATCAATTCTGTAAATTTTGAAAGTAATGCTGATAAGCAATAGCATTTATGAAAACTGTTAATTTTTGCTCTTTAAAGTAGGTGTTGTTTCCAAAAGGGTCTGACTATATACTCACTCTCATCACTAATAATATGTCTTTGATACATAGTTTTTAACTTATATTGAATTTCACGCATACTGGATTAATTCTCCTGAAAAAAAAGATAAAGTGTTTCCATCAATTTATCATCATCTTTAAAGGGCATTAGAATAAAATTTTGTTTTTAATTTATTTATTTTAGGAAGTAGACAAGGAACTGATGTTGATCATAGATGAAGACCAAAAAGACTTGGATACTGAGAAGGGATCAGTTCATAAGGCAGACTCAGAGAAGGCAGAAACTGACAGACAAGTATCTGAAAAGGTTGGTTTTATGTCTCACAATGAAAAATAACCCAGACAGAAAAGCACTCTTTATTCAAAAACTTTTAATGATGACTGTGCCTATGACTAGTAGAAAACCAAGTGTCTCAGAAAGTGTTCAAGCTCCTATTTAGTTAACAGTGAATTATTGATGTATTTTTTAATTATTTTCCTGTTATATGTAGGATAAGGCTCAAAGCTTGGAAAAAAAGTTATATAATTGTATTTCATTTGCTCCTTGACCCTTACCCATATCACATTTTCCCTTGTTGATTATATGAAAAAAAATCAAAGAATGAAAATATAAAATGTGATACAAACCTTTTCCTTTGCAGGGAGGGTCACCTCAGATGCAGGAGGCTGTAGAGAAACTGGACCTTGGCCGCGGTGTAAGTGTCCAGAGCCGGCAGAGCCGGGCAATGAGCAGGATGGACACTGGGACACCCAAGCCACCTGTACTGGTCAATGCCAAACTGGCCGAGCTGATGGACAGAGAGCCAGAGGAGGAAGACCTGGGGGTGGAGGAGGTGAGGGAATCCTGATTTTTCAATGAAAAAAAAAAACCTGAAGAATTAAAAAAAAAAGTTTAATCTCATTATTATTTTAACAAAAACAAGAGAGATGGGTTCTGCTGTTTGAGCAGCTTCTCAAAATTTATTGATTAAATTATTATTAAAAAAGAAGGTGTTCTGTATTTACAAAAAGAGTGTGCAGCAAATATTAAATTTAACAATAAGGGGGCAAATACCTAGAATAGATTTAATTTATAACAAAAAAATGACAACTTTTATTTTAATCATTTTCCAGATATTTGACATCTTGCCCCTGTACGGCACCCTTAAGTCTGGTGACACAGAGCAGATTACCTTGACCTTCTATGGTCATGCAGACATAGGCAGCAAGGCCAGAGCTATCTGTGAGGTGGAAGGAGGACCCACATATGTGGTGGAACTGAAGGGAGAGGCCTCTCTTGTACAGTATGCCTTTGATTGCCAGGATATAGACTATGGGAAGCAGGTACAGTGGGTGAAGCAGTTAGTGTGTGTGTGTGTGTGTGCACGCATGTGCGTGTGTTTGTGCATGCGTATGTAAGTGAGTTCTGTGTGTTCTTATAATAACAAGGTTTAATATATTAAAGATGAGTAATCTTTTCTGCCTATGTGCCCTAGGTATAACTTATTGAGAAGTCATAGTAGTTTTTTTTTCTTATTTTTTTTGTTTTAGAATATATATCTTTTGTATCAAGCTTGTTAAACTGTCAGAAAAAAATTTTTGACATGGAATTTTCAAGATTTATTTGTTATTCTTCTCCACCAGATGTATGACCAAGTAGCAGAGACCCAGATCACCCTGATAAACACAGGAAAAGTAGGCTTTAACTTCACTGCAATCAACATGGATCCCAGCCTGGAGAAAAAGCCCAGAGCCGGGGTGCCTGTTATGATTCCACACACTGTAAGTTTGTTTGAACTTTAAGCTTATTTAATTTTTTATTTCTGATTGCTATAAGGGGAAGTGGAAAAGACAAATATTGAATTGTGAGACAGTCAGGTGGGCAACATTATATGAATCCATAACCCTATTTTTATCATTAGATATTGTCCTAACATTGTTTTTTGTGGCGTTGCCTATGAAGATTTGCCAGCCTATTCGGAAAATTTACAAACACTGACACTTTTTCTAATGTTACTCATAGTTAACAAAAAAAAGTGATTGCAATAATTATTATACTTTTATGTCTTAATCCAACCAACATGAGTGAGAATATTGACATTCCCTAAAAATTGTCTATTTCACAGGGCTATATTGAGCCATTCAGTGAGTTAATCCTGACAGTCAAGTACCTCCCCGGGGTACCAGAGAGATTCCATCGCAGCTTCCAGATCCAAGTGGCACACTTCGAACCTGACACCATCAACATCTACGGAGAGGGTGTATTTCCCAGGATCTCTCTGGACCTGCCGCGGGTGGACGACAATGACGGGAGGTACTCCTCACAACTGAAGGAGGCCAGAGAGTTGCTGAGTGGGGAGAAGAAGTGTGGGAAGGATCCCTTCAACAGCCTGGCGTCCACACTGAGGGAGACACACAGGGAGGATGACAATGTGTTCCTGCAGGTGAGAGAGAGAGAGAGAGAGAGAGAGAGAGAGAGAGAGAGAGAGAGAGAGATGGGAGAGGGTGCAAAGGGGAAGGAGTGACTAACCCAGAGTTTCAGAGTCAGATTTTTCAATTTCTTTATACGGTAGTTTATTGGATGAGTGTATTGATAATCATATCAAAGTTTGAAAATGAAGATGTTGGCCGAATCAGAATCTGGATTTCTGCACGTAGTGACCCCCCAACTTGTTTTATAAGTAAATAACCTAATGTGTAATTGGAGATTTTGCTGAAAATATTGCTATTTAATATAATAATTCTAGGAATAATATTACAAGAATCTTAAAATGTTGATCCCTTTTACTTAAACCCTTGAAATAAAAAAAATTATGAAGTTTTACTATCATATCAAAATGTTACTTATACTTATTTGAATATTCTGATAATGTTCCTTCAGCCTGAAGGCATGCCCTCTGAGCTAGAGCTGCAGATGGAGGTGGAGAGACTGATGGTGAAGGAATACGCCATGGACCAACTGCAGCAGTCCAACAGGTCTGAAACACACGACACATCCCACGTGCCCACCACACATGACAGCAAGGAGCACAGCAAGAAAGGGAAGAGAAAGAAGAACAGGTACGAGTTTGTAATTTGTTAGGATTGTAGTTAAAGATCAGGAATGTCTTGTTAGTGTTGTTGTTATAAATGATGATGTTACTGTTCATTGTGACTAGTGCTGATGCTTTGGAAAGACTCTGTTGAGTTTGGCAGGAGAAAAAAAATATGAACTTTTTATGTTAAAGTCGGCATGCAAGGAAGTTGGAAAGTCCTGAGGTTATTAATTTTGATACATGGACATGCTTTTGAAACAATTATAAAGGCAATGTTATAGTTGATATACTATCCTATTAAAAAGAAAATAATGTGCTTTTAATTGGCTATTGGGTTATCAGAAATCATTTGTTAGTACACTATGTTTTCAATTTCACAAACTATTTTGTCTTCAAGACCCCGCCTCCCTGACTATCTCCTGGACTTTGGCTACGTCGTACTGGGCACAGTGCGCACACACATTGTGCGTGCAACAAACAGTGGATGGTACCCTGCCTCTTTCTCCGTTGACCATGAGCAGAGTCACGGCACTGGTTTTAATGTAGAACTTGACCGTGTGAAGCAGCTGCCTGGTGCTCCTGACCATGAGACAGTGGACTTTGTGGTCAGTTTTGACCCTAGGGGAGCCAACCTGCCACTGGGGGATATAGACACTGTAGTTCCTATTACTGTGAGTACCTCTTTGATTATTTCTTTCTTTGTTGTACCATTTTCAAGTTAACTGTTGTTATTCATAGTTCTTATTACTGTTTTAGAGCAAAAGTAAACAAAACTGTTTAGCTTGCTTGAGATGTTTCACATTACTAGAATAACCTACTTTCATTATAACCCAGTGTTAAATTGAAAGTTTCAAGTTCTTTTTACTAAAAAGTAGAAACAAATGATTCTGATTTTGTTTCAGGACCTGTTCTTTACTGTTTGTGTGATGAGAAATTTTAATTAATATATTTCCCTCTGTCTCTCCCCAGATTGTAAACGGCCCCCAGATCAATGTGCGTCTGCATGCCAACGTGACAATGCCTGAGATGACAGTGTCTGCAGACACCCTGGAGTTTGGGGAGGTCAAGTGTGGCGAGTGTAAGATAATCACTATCCAGCTTTACAACCACAAGTTTGTACGCTGTGAATGGAATTCTCTGCCACTGGAGAAAGACAAGAAAAAGGTAAGATTTGTGGGTTCTATGTGTGGAAAGAGATAAAACACTTGCCAATGAGCCTAGTTTCCGTCTTTTTTTATTTGTTTGTTTTTTGCCATCAAAGGGGAAGGGGGGGCCAAATACCTCAACAGTTAAATACAAAACCCTCTGTTACTAAGCACAAATGATTAAAAATGATCATTATACTTTTATTTATAGCTTTGATTTTTAAAAATCTCATTTGTGATCACAATCTCTCAACTATTTCATTTTCTTATCTTATTTGAGACTTGACAGACATTTGTCTTTGAAAATTCATTTAAACAGATCCAAGTATTTGTATTTCCATTTTTGTCAACCTTTCAGGACAAGCACATTCCCATGCACCTGCGTCGCAAGATGCGTCAGGAGAAAGCCAAGCCACGCACATTTGAAGTGATGCCCCCCATGGGCGTGCTCATGCCAGGACAGAGACTCAATGTGCAAGTCAAGTTTATGCCCACGGAAGAGGTAATATCATATATTACTATATGTTTAATTATGTTATTCTTATTTTGTAGTAATGTGGTAATTTGAATAGATGATTATAAACTCCTTTAAATAATTTTTACTTCAGGTTGATGATAATGATAATAATAAGAATAAGAATAATAATGTTCAGTTGTTATAATTACTAGAAAATGCCTAAATTTTAAATGGTATTTAAATGACATTAAAATACAATTTCAAAATAAACATTTTTATATTCTATTATTTCAGAAATACTATGAATACAGGGTTCCTATCCGTATAGCTCAGAGTAGTCAGCGTCTGCTGGTCCTGGCCAGGGGAAATGGTCTGGAGCCCAGGCTGGACTTTGAGAAGACCCTGATGGAGTTTGGCCCCATTCTGCCCCACAGTCCTGGGGACGAGAGAGAGGTGGTGGTCAGAAACCCATGTCAGTTCCCTATAGAGATTTATAACCTGGAGTTTGACAAGACATATCTTGAAGAAGAGAAGGTATTTGTTTGTTTGTCTGTTTGTTTGTTTTTGTGTATCTGTGTGTTTGTGTTTCTGTAATCTTTTTGTTAAACTAGTGAAAAATTTGTGAAAAATAGCTAATTTTTGTTTTGTTCAGCAAGTAATTTATCTGTACCATTTGGCAGAATAATTTATTAACCAAGGGTGGACCTTGACATGTATGGTTTATTGCCATTTTCTATGAAAATAATTCACATAACAGTCACAGTTACAATCTGTTTACACTGATGAAATGTCCACTTTCTGAAACATGGAGAAAACTACAGAAGCTGTATTTTTCTCAGTAAATGTTCACAGTCTGCTTTCTATGAACTAAGCAGAAAATTTGCACATTATTATTATTATTATTATTATTATTATTATTATTATTTTCATTTCAATTAGGTCCTGAGGCTAATGAAAGGATATGATGAGTACAACACAATTCTCCTACCACCAAGAGGTCCCTCAGAGAAATTACCAGCAGAGCTGCTGGAGTATTATGAAGGTGAGTCCATTGATTCTCATACATACATGTTTTTTTTCTATGATTCAAGTTCAGTGATTCCCAGTTACTCCTCATCTAATATATCTTTAATCGATACTTTTATTAATATATTATTTATGCATACTTTTTAACATTTATCTGTTTTAAAAGTATTTTTATAATGATTTTATTGCATTGTCCCCAGTGTTTAGTGTTTATTTGTATTGCAACTGAGTTTTGTTACATTATTTTTATACATTTACTACAGATGAATGATAATAATTATTTTCAGACTTAGTTTATTAAGTGTTAGGGTCTGATATGATGGGCTATTAGTCAAAAAACATTTTTAATTTTATTAGATTTTATGGAGTATGGGATTGTAGAGAGACCCCACAAAATGCATATTCCTATTAATTGATATTATTTAAATAGAAACAGTTTGAACCTGATAATACAACTGACATTTCAGACCAAATGAAGAAGCTGGAAGAGGTGGAGCGCAAGAAGAGAGAGAAGGAGGAGGCAGCAGAAGCAAGCAGAAAAGAGCAGGAAGAGAGAGGTAAGACCCCAGTGATGTCATTGAGAAGATCAAGAACTGAGTGAATATTTAAAATTGAATTTATGATGATTTGTAGTACTATGGAAAGATGCACAATTATGAAAAAATCTGTTTGACAAAAGAAAATGTTTAAAAATATAAATATAAATAACTTTCATTTAAAAAAAAAGACAAGTTACTGAATGGGATATGAATGTTATGTAATTATTTTTAAATCAGAAGCTGCAGCAGAGGAAGGAGAGGAGAAAGCTGAAGGAGAAAATGGAGAACCAGAGACCCCTAAACTTGATATTCCCCAAATTGCCAGGACTGCTCCGTCCCGAACTGGTACTGCTGATGCATCCAAAGGAGAAGAAACGAAGGAGGGCAGTGGAGAGGATGAAGAGAAGGAAGATAAAGAGGAAGAACAAGAAGAAGGTATTTAATTTATTTTATTTTTTGCCTCCCCCACAGGAAAGGGGATTTGATGTGTTTTTATTTGCCTCCCCTGTGAGGTCATTCTTATGCCGTATATATTAGTATGCTATTTGTGACATTGAAATAATAATACTTATTATGGTGATCCTGATATATATTGATGATTATTCAATATTCAACCACAGACTGGAGATATATTTTGCAGTATTCTGATAATAATACAAGTCAGTTTTTTTTTTACAAATGTGTAATAACATTGATTAAATTCCAGACAAGCCTGGAGAGTCTATTGGCAGTGCAGGTGTAGGTGAGCTGGAGATAACACCAGTATCAGCCGCCATTGCCCGCCATCTTGGAATTGACTTGACACAGGAGGGAAAAGCTGCAAGGAACCGCAGAGGAGTGGCATTTATTGTTCACGGAGCTCCTATGGCTGGTAAGTAGGAACTTTGCAAGCATTCATGAATTTCAAGGATTTTCATATTACCATGAAGAGACTTGTTATTTTAGTGATTTGCATCCAATATTTTGATTAATTTCATAATTTTGTATATATAATGAAACTGAAAAGTACCTGCTAGTGGGTGTTTATTTCTCTATGGCAAGACAATTATCTGTAAAGATATACATGAAAGGGCTAGTCTTTGTAATTCTCATTAATTCATCCAGATTACTCCATCATTTTCATATAAGTTACTGGTTTATATTATTGACAATAGCTAATAAAGTTATTATTCTTGTATAGCTTCCTAGAACAACTAAAGTATGTAACTCCATGTGTATTTGCAGGCAAAACCTCCAGTGCTGTAGCCCTAGCCAAGCACTACGAGGCAGCATTACTGACACTAGATGGTGTCATATTAGAGGCCATTTCTAATGGCTCCACACCCGCAGGTCTGCGTGCACGTGAGATGTGTGCAGAGGCAGCACGTAAACAGGCAGAACTTGAAAAGCTTGCAGAGGGGATGGGTGAAGAAGGAGAGAAAATCAAAGCTGGTGGACTAACAGCTGAAGCAGTGGCTGCTCACACTCAGGGGACAGGTGAGCATAAGGATTTAACTATGTTATGATATAATGTGTGTATTATGTATATATGTATTATGTGTGTATTTTATTGAAGTTGAAGTTTTTTTCTAGAAAAATTTAGATGAAATCTAAAAATCTGTTTTCAGATGACAGTTATTAAGTGTTTTCATGTTCACAAACTTCCACCTGCACACATAGACCTACCTATGTGCCCACACAAATGTCTACATCTTAATATCAGAACTTGCTGTATTGTTTTATGTACACTTTCTTTAAATAATATTTTTATAAATACTTTTTTTACACCACAGGTCCTGCTGCAGCCCACGCTCCAAGTATCATCTCCAACCGTAAGACCAGCACAGTGGCTGATCACAAGGGAGGCAAGGAGAAGATTAAGGCAGGAATAGCTGCCTCCTCCGTGGATGGCACGAGTCAGGTAGGGGCACACTTCTCTTACTACAGCCATGTCTATGTCATGTAGGCTGCACTCAGCATGTGATCATTATTTACAATATCAGCACAAAAGGATGTACACTGTCAAAGCACTTATGTGTGGCATGACTCTTCATAGTTGTGACTCTGTAAATATTGGTTTTCTTCAATGCACAGTGTATAATTGCAGTATGATGCTTTAAAGCTTAGAAGCAATGCATTGCTTTTTGTAGGATTTTTTTTTGACAGGGTAATGTATGTTTGTATAAGACCTATTTTTGATAAAAAAAGTTAAAAAATGAAGAGTTGACAGTTTGCATCTGAGATAAAGTTACTAGCAACATGATATGCCTACCAGGTGTTTGTGCATATCTTTCAAGTCAAACTAAACTGAGAGATTGAACAACCATCATGATATTTATCAAAGATGCAAATTGATTGATTTGGATTAAAGTGGACATTATTTTTATTAAGCTTGTAGCAGTCTTAAGCACCTTTATTGTTCTGTTTCAAAAGCACAGGCTCTCTGTCACTTTTTTTGCTAGTCTGTTTGATAAATTTTGCCTTCTGTCTGCTAGTGGCATTCCCAGGAGAGTATGCTTCACTCCAATGCTGCATTAGATACACATAGGTCGCAATACTTCTCGCACCATAAGCACGGGCACAAGGTTGGTTTGTGTTGGTTCATGTGCCCCCTCACCTCTCACCCCTCAAACTCCTTTGTGTTTGGAACTCTTAGCCTTATTTTCCAAAGTTCATTATGAATCGGTGATTTTCAAGTCAGAACTAGCTTCCAACAATGACACAACATTGATTTGTTTCTTCTTAGTGGACAAGGCATTCCAAAAAGTTTTTTGACACAAATTTTCATGAAATTTCCATGATAAACAGTAATTAAAGGAGGGAAAGAATTGATTTCAAATTGAATCCAAGTCTGAGACTCTTAATATTTTTAAAAGTGGAAGACTTATTAACATTAATTTGGAACTAAGAATTCTGACTTAGAAAAGAATCAACTATTTGTTGTGAACTTTGGTGCATATGGTTACTGCACTGCCATGCTACCCACCCTGCTTTGTCTGTAGGAAATTTTAGTTGGATTATGTTTATTTTATGGCAATTGCTTTATGTTGCTTGTGTATTCAGTGTTTTAAATGCTTTTTTTATGTTAAGATTGCTGCTGATTATGTTGCTGATAGATGTTTTGTATACAGTTGAATCTTTGAATGTCATGAATTTTTATTTATTGCAGCACCTTTATGTTAATTAATTGCTTATAAGACCCTACCCACCCTCACTTTAATCTTTTTGAGTCACTTAAAAGCTTTTTATATGTTGCAGTGTTCATTGTTTTTCTGATAGTTAATATTTAAAGTTGTTTGGGTTTCTTTCTTGAAGTCTGATAATGCCAAAATTCAGCGAGGACGAGGTGCTGCTGCTGCCGCACAGGAAGAAGATGCATCACAGGTGCCCTCTAGTGGCAGCACTTGCTTGAAAATGCACACCATTTGCTGTTGTACTCATTAATATATTGTTAGGCAGCAGACAAAATTCATTTTATCTGGCAACTCCATTGATCAAAATAGTCTTTTCTTGTCCTTTTTTTGACATATGGAGTTTTCTTTCCACTTTTATCCTTACTGTAACATAAATGTTTTTATATTTGAAATTTTACGTTTGAATAACATAATGCTTTGTTTGCTGCCTAGCCATATTCATAGGTTTACACTAATAAAAAAATAGATTTTTAAGAGACCATTTCTGCTTTGGAGCAACTTAAAACATAACTCATTATAATTTTAGCATTAGAAAAAAGGGTTGATTTAGTCATTAAAAGTGATTTCGAAAGCAAATTATATCATAATAGATTACATGCTAGAAGTACCCTGTAATTTACTAACTCAGTTGTGTAGATGTGTTTCTATGTTGTTTGTTTAAATTCAAGACAAAAAAAAAAGAGAGATTAACTATGTAACATATTTTTGGCTAATAGCAGGAGTGTAAAAGTTTGATCAGTAACTTTCGAAATTGGTGTTATTTTTTTTTAGCACGATTGAGCTATTTAAACCTAATAAGATTAAAAGATAAATGAAATGAAATCTAACCAGGCATATATATTGTTTGTTATGAAGATTGAGACAGTGCAATGGTTTTTATACACACTCATGTTTGTGGCATGTTTATAAAAGAGAGTGCTACATAATCTTGGGTGTTATATTTTGCAAGTAGTTTTCTTTTTCCACTGTTGTTTGCAGTGTATTCAGGTGAATCGGACTTATTGTGTTGCTTGACAGTTTACAGATTTGATATATAATCTGACATTTAAAAAAATGTACAACTTTCAATTTATACAAAAAACTCCTGAATGATAAAAACCTGGTAAAAAAGCTACCCAGTCACATCAACATTTTCAGAACACAATTTCACAGTTCAGAATCACTTCAAATTATACTTTAATATTTAGGGAACTAAAATTATTCAAGAAGCTTGTTACACATTGTTTATGTCTTTTATCCCTCCCAGGTCCCCAGCAGTCCACCCCCACTGGCAGCCCCAATAGCTCGCCGTCTCAGTGTGAGTGCCAGCGTGGCAGGAGAGGGTGGTCTCATGAGCTGTGTGCTACCTGAGGAACTGCTGGTAGACATACTGGCAGAGAGGCTACAGGTGAGTGTCACTGGGGTTTTAAGATTAAGGCCTTTTTGCACATTGAGTGGTACAGTTTTCTGTATGATCCCACCAGTCTAAGAGATTGACAACTTAATAGCCTGGCTGTTACGTTTGAACCACCTAAACCCCTTTAACCAGATCAATTTTGTTTGGTAAATTGGGGCTTGTGAAAGTTATCAGCCCCCCCCCCCCCCCTCCAACCCCAACTCCAAACTGAAAAGGTTGTGCTCCACTTACGTCTTTTCCCTCTCCGTCCTTAAAACCACAGTCTGTGGCAAATGATTAAACCATAATTATGTATATTCTGTCCTATTTTTCCAGCTGAATGACTGTCACCGTGGCGTGGTGTTTGATGGGCTGGACACACTGTTCAGTGCTAACATGGTCAATGCTCTCTATGCCCTCCTCAAGGCTCTCAACAACAGAAAGTACCTGTACTTTGTCACCCTGAAGCTCAGCTATGACACCTTGAAGGAGAGAGAGAAGAAAGAACAGGAGGAGAAAGGTTGGTAGTTCATATGATTAGGGTTGCTTTTTGCTGAAAGGAGGCTGAAAAAATAGCATGCAATTTTGTATTTTTTTTTTGTAAAAAGTTAGTAATATTAAAATAATGATTTGCTTACTGTACATATTTATTGCCATAATGGTATTGGCATCATACTTTTAAATTGTAACTGTTTACCTTATATGAAATTCTGTTGAGTAAACGTAGATTTTGATATTTATTTCTTTTCCTTATACTCACCCCCCAAAAGAAATTGACATTAAATTTACAACATTGTCAACTGAGATCAAGTTCTTTGAAATACACTTATTTATTTGAAAATGCCCCCTTTGAAAATCTCAGAGCGTATGGAAAAGGAGAAAGAGGAAGCAGAGAGACGACGCCTTGAGGAAATGTCAGAGGATGAATATGATGCCCTGACTGATTCTGAGAAAGCTGAGGTAGACAGGAAGAGGTTGGAGATTAAGAAAGAAAGGATTAAGAGGTGAGGAGATGATCATTGTTTTGCTTTATGATAATACTTTTAATTTTTAGATAGCAACTATCAGGAAAAAGTCTAAATTTATCTGTATAATGCATTGAATAAGATATGTTAAATTGTTCAGTAATTCTTTAATAATGAAGAATGTCATTGCTATTATTCAGACTCTTTATTGACATTACATTAGTTTATCTTTTTCAAGTCTACCAAAATGTGTAAAGTTGAATTCTTTTCAATGTATGAATTGTATTTCAGAGAGCAAGAAGAAAAAGCTGAGCGAGAGCGACGTGAACGTGAAGCCAGGGAAGCTGAGTTGCGCAGACTGGAGGAGGAAAAGTAAAATCTATTGTTTCTGTTTTTTATGAGATATTCTATTACATCATATTACAACATTCAGTTGTATCATAGAAATACACTTTCGATGTATTTTGTTTTAAAATTTCATGATACATGAGTTATTTCAGAGGAATTTCCATTTTAAGTTTCAGAGAACTCGTTGATAACATTATTTTATTAACAGAGTCTATAAGTTTATGTAACAGGGGAAAAGACTCTTAAACAAAGGATGTAAACATATTCAACATTTACACTGATAACACATTTTAAAGTTGAGTCCAGACTGTCTTTTCAGTGAAAACACATTTTATTTTCAGGCTTCAGAAGAAGAAACCAAAGAAGGGGGATGCCAAGGAAGAGAAGGGTGCAGCAGGGAAGAAACCCCCTGGCAAAGCAGAGCCTGCCAGTAGCAGGATGTCTGTACAGAAACAAGGTGGCAAGGCACATGAGAGTGAGCATGGTCTACCTAAAGGCGCAGCTGGAATGGAGCGTCCAGAATCTCACCAAACCATGCATAGTGATGAGGATGCCAAGTAAGTTTGGGATGTTTAGCTTTATGTTCTAGTATTAACAGTTATACCAATGTGGTTTTTCAAAGGTATTTTGTAATAGAATTTTAGACTTCTGAAAATCTTTTTTTTTCTTTTTTGGTGAATACTGAAAGTGTACACTTTCTAAATAAGCATATTTATTTATTTATTTATTTATTTATTTATTTATTTATTTATTTATTTATGCAAAAGACAAAAAAGTTAATATTTATATATTATCTGGTATTGTATGTTCACTGTATTCTGTAGCTAGCAATTTACCTATTTACCCATAGTTTAGTTTAAGTTGATATGACTTACCTTAGAAACTTCATAGATATGCTGCTCACATATATGTATTCATACTGTTTGGTCAGCATCTGGCTTGAACTTAAAACTCATATAATTCTTTGAATAGATTGTTCCTTGGACATAAAATGTACTTGTACTAGGGCAGATAAAGGTGATCTTGGCTTTTTGGGTGGTTAGCAATATTTTCAACACAGGGCAATTTTGTAATAAACAAGGGGTATTTTATTTGCTTTGGAAAACTTAACACCTGAATCTGTCATTGGCATATCATCATGACACATTTTGCTCCTGATGAATAGTAAAGAATAGAAATCTGTACAGACATACTCATTTACCTCATTATTATTCAAAAATATAAGGAAAATGAGACAAAATATTTCAAGGAGCAATTTTGAAGGTTCCCTTTTAAATATACCTGTACAGTAAGGCACAGTAAGACTTTTTTCTAGCTCTTATTTTTTATGATTCATGGTGACTGTGGATGGTATCATTGTTATATTGTTGTTCCCTTCTTGTGTCTGTAGCCTCAACCCTCCATCTGGCAGGTAGAGTAGCTCCCTCTGGTGACAAAATTCAATTGGTTGATTTTGGTTGTTATGCCAACACTACACTGCATGCGCATCAGCTTTCATTTGTTGTAATTTTTTTCTTATTTTCAGTGGAAATTGTACCCTAATATTATAACAGTACTGAGATTTTGTTGATGTTTTTGTTGCCCCTTGATGTTGATTGTTTTGTACATTGTGTATAACTGTGCTGTTGATGCCATTTGTTAAAAATTCAGTTTCTTTTCAATAAAGTTGAAGCTTAACAAACTAAAGTTGACGAATAAGGATGAAAGTGTCATCTAATCATAACTTTGATGTTGTAATTAGTTGAAAATAAACAAAATTTAGTAAATATAATAATATTGATTTGGGAGACTGAAATGGTAGAGAATTAAAACAAAGATGCAACTCTTTCAGCCAAGTCTTAGAATAGCAAAAAGTTTGGCTGAAGATAGTGCTAAATATTAACAAATTAGGTATACTTTTGAAAATTTTATTAAACAAACCAATTCATTGGGTTAAAGAAAGTGTAAAGATTCTGAATTTAAATTGACTAATACTTATCTCTACCATTACAGTTGTTCAGTATTTGTAATAAAATTAATATCAAATAACCTGTATGTTTTGCTTTTGTAAGTAAAACAATGTGATTAATATGTTGATTAATATATGTATAATACATGTTGTATTTCTCACATTTAGTCCCACTAATCATAGAATGAGCTCAGGAATAGCACTCATTATGAAGCACATGATAGGGTAAACGTAGCACCTCTATATTCCCATTCAATTCTCTTGTATTCAGTACATGCCCATAGTATTATTAGTATGACCAACTAGATGAGTTTTCTTTACAAAATTAATAATTGCTGGTCTTGGGTGTCCTTTAGGACTTCTTGATACATTTAAATGATCCATTTCTTCTCATCTGAAGATCATTTGGTTGGTGGAGTCTTTTCTTTAATTTCTCTTTTTTTTCTCTTAGACATTTTACCTAGATTTTCCAGTATTTTCTGCCAAATTTCTTGTTTGTTTATCAACTGTTTTTCCATTTTGCATTTTAAATGATGTTGATAACAAAATTTATCCTTTTTTTTTGTAATTTACCCTCTTTCTTACTTCCTTTTTTGGTAGGAAGTTAAATGCCTACAAATTATATTTCTTTTTTTAATCATCATTTCATGATTCAAACTTTTTGGCTTTTCTATCTCATTGTTATTTTCTTTGCCCAGATCTAAATGTCATTACCCTTTATTAAAAGTCTTTTGCTTGTTTTTTTTTCTATTAGAATTGCATTTAGTTTGAATTTATTTTTCTCATTCAGTGACATTTGAACATTTAAGGAAATGGAGCTTGAAACTAAGAATTTTGAAACAGTTTGTTAACTCCCAATAATAGTGACCTGATCCATAATATGTAATCACAAATTACAATAAACTTTCCAGACAGTTTTTTTTTTCATAATTATTAGTATACCACAGTGTTGTCTTTACAGTCTGTAATTGTACTGCATAGTCTGTAATTGTGCAGTACTTGAATATAAATGGTGTAATATTAAATAAATTTAATAACAGAAAGTCATGTCACTGTTATATGGGTTTCTCTGTATCACTATCATTGTTAAACTAATGTGTTTTTAATATTTAACAATGCATGATACTTGTATGGTGTGGAGTATGATGAGGATGTGGCTTATTAGAGAGCACTTTGATACGCAGCTGCATATACTAGCTACTAACTTGTACAGACTAAGAACGAGACAAGTTCTGAATCAGTTTAAATGATATCTTAACTGTTAGGAAGTTGCCAGTCCAGCAGCATTCCACCTGACTGCCTAGACATCATTATTTCCTGTTCAGAACTTGTTTTGATCTGTTTGAAGATCTTTAAGATATTTGCTGCTACTAGGCAGTGTGAATGTAAGAGTGGAATCTGAGACTGCATTCCCACAGATTTAGATCAATCCCTCTGAATCGACCTAACTCTCTGGGGGTTCACGCTTAATTGCTGTCAGCCGAGCGCCCACGGAAGTTAATTACCCCCTTACAGCTTTTAGTAGGCGGGACAGACATTTAAGCCAGCTAAGCTGACAGTAATCTAGTGAGACTCCCAACAGGGATAGATCGATCTAAAATCTGTGGGAATGCAGTCTTATTTAATTGATTTAAGGTTTTATAATCTTAACACTTGAAACACTTATGAGGTGAAATGAATTGAGTTTGAATATGGTTAATATCAGAATTGTGTACAGTATACTGAGAAGTATGAAAAAATGGTTGCCTTTGTATCATATTGATTTCCTGAAATTCACTGTAAAGAAAAATAGCATTGTGGTATGTTCTGATATATGATAACAAAGGAGAGCAACAGTTACTGTTCCATTGGTACATGTATAGCATGCTTCTTAGTATTAGTAATTTATTTGTTTAAATTATATATTGATGTATTATAGAAGTAGATAATTTACAATGATATTCAGTAGTTCTATTCTAATATTAGCACATGATTGAGTAGATTGTCACATTTAGAAGCTTTCTTGTAATGGGTTGTAAGATGAAGGTGTTTATCATGAGAGGCACAAAAAAAGATGTTTTGTCACTTGAGGACCTGAGGAGATGCTTTAAAAATTCCAGCTCTCTGTTCTAGAGGCAGATGCAACTTAAGAGCAGTTGCAGCATTTTATTATCATATGAAGAAATGAGTTAACATAGCTTATCATAATTGTGAACATATTTTTTTTACCCATGTAGGAAAAAACACAAAGGCAGCAAGGAAGGCAAGCGACCTGTTTCTACAGAAAAAGAAAACTTGCCACCTGAGGAGCCTCCAAAGGAACAGAAGAGTGAAGCTGAGATACTCCTTATGCAGAAGTATGCTCATTTAAAGAAAATTTTAAGATTATTTGATTACTATTCCCAAAAATGATAATAATGTCAGAATATCTGTACTATCAGTGTAAGAAATTAAGGCTAGACTGTCTGCCTAGGGCTGACAACTTTCAGAACAGGCTGAGAAGTTTTCCCACCCGGCAGACATTCAGTCCAGCTACTTTTCAAGATGGCTGGACTTTCGGTCCAGCAACTAATTTTCCTAAGAGGCAAACACTGTGTACTATCATTGTATTTTCCAGACTTTGATTTTGAAAAAGTTAGGATTTTTTTTTTTGTTACATACATTTAGAAGTCTACAGATACTAAAATTCATTTGGCTACCTTTGAAAAAATAAATGGAGAATAGACTGTTTGCATAGACTTCATGTAATAGACTGTTTGCATGATGCAATTTTGAAAAAAAAGGCAAAAAAAAATAAATAAATAAAAATAAAAATAAATAAATGAGGAAAAAAGTTAACCACATGGCACTAAATAGTTTTATTTTATAAATTTTTTTATTAGATTCAAATCATTTGAACACACTCAGAAAGACATTGGAGAAATTATTGAGCTGTGGGATAGGACAATCTTGGATAAGCACCGTCCTGGTACGCCCTCTGATAAATCTGATATGGCTGAGGAATCTGTGATTCACCCACCATCTGGGAAGAAAGGCAAGAAGATGGACAAGGAGAAAGGAGGTAGGGATACTGAATCAATTTTATTTCTAGAACACAGAAAAAAATTAAGTAAATTGGTTTTTATTCTTAATCATTGACATTTATTATTTAATTTTTTATCCATTATTGCAGATAAGGATAAGCATGACAAGGAGAAAGGGAAGGGTCACAAAGAAGACAAAAGTGAAGCAGAGAAGAGTGCAAAAGAGGTAAGAATGACAAAGTTACTGAACAATCACTCTCTGTACCTCCTTGCCAAATAAAAAAAGAGAATAGAAATAACAGAAAATAATGATCATAATAATGATAATGTAATAACATGTATATGCTTCCTTTCACAGGCTGCTGAGACAGAAGAAGGTGAAGAAGCTGCAGAGCCAGAGCCTGAGAAACCCCGTCTTGATGGCATTGGTATCCCCCACATCCTCCTAGACTGTACAGACATAGACCAGCCTGGGCCACAGATACTGGAGAACAAGAAACTGCCCACTGTGCAAGAGGTACGGGGATGGAGAGAGGGACGGGGGTGTTTAGGGATTGGGGGAGTGGCAGTATAGTGGGCAGAGTGTGTTGGGGGTGGGGGAGAGGTGGTAGGGGTGGGCAGTATAGGGGACAGGGCAGTGTGGGGATAGGGTGTAGTGTTGGATACAAGGTAAAATTAAGGCAAAGTAGGGAAGGAGGGCACTTTGGAGGATGTGCAAAGAGCCATTGTAGTGATGGCAGAGTTATGTAGGACACAGGGATGTGTAGGGATGGGTTGGGGGGGATATAGAGGGATATAATTGGGATGGTATGCAGAAGGCATAGAGCAATGATGATGATGATGATGCAGAAGGAAGGACAGGATTCTTTGGAGTATGTTGTTGGTGTTTGGGAGCAGGGCAGTTTAGGATGACTGCTAGAATTATAAGATGGTGGATATACCCTTGTTCTAAATTGAGAAGTTTATCGAATAAAGTGATGCTTTTTAACAGTAATTTTTCTGCATAGTAGCAAGTATATATGTATGGTTGACAATTATAATTTTTGTGATAGATCCTGGATGGGTTAGGCCTGGGACCTAATGGACCCCCAGTGCCACCCCCAGCAGAATTTGCTGTGGTGCCATATCCAGTAAAGAGACGTGCCCCAGGAGACACAGAGCCCAGCAGCCACTATGTCTTTGTAGCTGCATCTGCTGATGATCCGTAAGTAAAACTTTTATTGCACTACTGAGACTATTATTTCAAAGTTACTCAGTGACTCAGTGACTGTCACACTTTTTCCAAAACTGGAGATGTAGATGTGATCAAGAATCATTTGAAGCATCTGTCCCCTATTTGATAATCAGTAAGTTACAAATGTAGTTTCATTAGGCGCTTGTTTGTAATAAAATCATAATTTTGAGTTATTGGTGCCTGTTTGGGTCAGTATGTAAAGCTCTAGTTGCATGTCTTTTTAACTACCATACAGTGACTTTTCAACCAAGGCCATTCATTCTCATCTTTCCATCATGAGCCAGTGTAGGGCCACCATCTCCTTACTTTTGCCATAAAGCACCTTTTAGAAGACTGACCTCATTGTTATTTTGATGGCTGATATCAACTTAAAGCACCACCTAACCATGGCCGAGATACCAAATTAATGTATTTTATATCTGTATTCCAGTAACATAGCCTCTGAAGAAAAACCCAAGGAGCCTGAGCCTGAGGAAGAGAAGTCAGTGACCCCAGACAAGAGCAAGGAAGACCACACGACTCCCACCAAGAGCACCAAGGGCTCCAAGGCTGAAAAACTCAGGGCTGGGGCCGAGAGCCAGAAGGCACAGAGAAAGACCAGTGCTGGGAAGAAGGGAGGAAGGAAGGGATCAACCAGTGGGGCTGCCTCACC